GCGTATACTTCAGTATATTCACATCTGGATTGGAGTCGAAGAATGAGTGCTTTGCTATCACTGACAAAGGTAACCCGTGTAGGGCAACGCGTAGAAGAAGAGGATGATGAGCCTGAGGAACTGTTGTCATCAATACTGTTCTTGGAGGCGCGGTTGTGTAAGTGCGAAATTAGCATGGTGATAAAGATACTCGCTGATAAAAAGCCTGTAGCCTCAGCTCGAAGAGAACTTTCTATACCAAAGCATGGGCCATTGGCATGGGCAATTCTATCCCCGGCTGTTGTGGCTAGGGACCAGCCAAAGGACATACAACCATCTTTGCCAGATCCATCGGAAACCATGAGGAGAGGGACTCCGGAAGCAAAATTATCCATTGTCAATGGAAAATCAGTTTCAAAGGTTGCTGACCGCAGGAGTTGGTGTTGCCAAGGAACTAGATTACGTAAGAGGCCCGGCCATGTACTGGGAGCGGTAGTAAGGGGTTTGCTGACAGTTGGAACAGGGCGGACACTRGTAGGATCATATTGGAAACCATCGGTCTTGGTCTTCCATGTTAGGACTGGGATCAGGTTGCCAGGAGGGAGTTTAGCAGAGACGCTTGATGATTGTGGTGGTCCTATATTGGTGAGAACCACTGGATGGGACTCCCAAGTGCCTGGACTGGGCGAGGTCCATATGTGGTAATCTGTGGACAGATAGGCCTGCCACATGCCGTGATAGGCATGAGTTGGAAGCCAATTGCCAAGCCGGTAAGCAGATGCCAAAATCMTGTTAGAGACAGGGCGAGAGGAGATGCTTTGAAGACATTTGTCAAAGGTCAGCCAGCTTTTCCTTTCTGGCTTGGGTTGGTATGGATAGGCAATGGAAGGATGGTAGTGTGTCAGGCGCCGGTGGGTGAAAATACTGRGAGACAACCTACTTGTGCCAGGGAGACACAATTCGCTGAGCCATTGTACCTTGAGATACATTCAGACTGAAGTAATCCGGTGGAGGGAGCGCACATGGCCTTTAGGAATTTTGGGAACTGTCACATGGAAATTGGCAAGGGCAAGATCCATAATAGTAGAATCGCCTCGGCGGAGCGGTGGTATGGATCCAGTGTTATCGACTGCAATTGTGCCCTATATAGTAGTGATGAAGTTGCTGGGAACGTATGGAAGTGCAATCGAGAGATTTTCTAGGACTGGTTGGGAGATGCCCAAAAATAATTGGAACCACCACAGAACAGACCGAAGGAGCTTTCCTGCAATGTCAAGAGATCTCCAGTGCTTCAAGAAGTGAATGATGTAACCGCGGCCAGTGATAACTTCCAATGGGATGAATCCTGCTCCACCTACCGACGCTGGTGCAAAGAGAATTGCTCTGGCAGTAGTGCGTGCATAACCACAGAGGGAGAAAATACGTGGAAAGTATTTCCGTTCCAACMAAAGCAATTGAGCAGAAGACAAGAAAGACTGGGGCAAGGGATATTCAATGGCAGGACGCAACACTGTCTCATAAAGCATACGTGCAGTAGGTTGGTTGGGTGAGCACCGCTGTATGGCACAGCAAATCAAATCTGCTTTAGAAAGGAGTACATTCAACTGGGCTGTGTATGATCCACATGGTGACTTGTGGTGGCCCAGATTTTTGCGGGGAGTGAAAATGCTCTTTGAGGCAATTCGGATGGGTGCCGCTGTGGGATCCGTGAGGAAGATATCTCCGGTAGCGTGACGTATGCGAGGAAGCATATCTGATGGAGACTCAGARAGATATTGGAAGTTGTAGTACATAAGATGGAATCCACATTTTGGAAGCTCCAGTTTCCCTCTGGAACACCACAGAAGATCATGCCATAGTTGTGCGTCTGATCGAAGTCGTTCCAGGAGATCGGCAAGGGAAGCGTCTGG